ACTGGATCCACCCCGGCTCAATTTTAAGGGGATCAATTTTAACGTTGTTCTTTACCAAGAACAATGGAGTTGAAATATTATGGGTTTTTTTTACATTTGTAGTTGTCTAGTTGTTGTTTATCTATCATTTATCAATAATACCAAACAATTAAATGTCATAATCATTCCTGGGTTGAATTTTGAAAAGACACATTTAGATATCATGGGGAAGAAACCCTTGTAGAAGGATTTGTACATTGCTGGAAGCATATTTCATGTTTACAAGGAAAAGAAATGTTTCAATAAAAATGTTACACACATAAATAACATGGGTGTACAGTATTATATTCCTGAAGTTTGGCTAAGCATTTGTGGATTAATGCACCAGTCAGAGTCTCATATCTGCAAGGTTAGCTTTGGTAATTTCAACAAGGTCTAACTGCCATGTAAATGACATAATGTTTCACCACTGAGTCATTTTCATAAAGTCTTTTTCATGTTTTTTTTTTTTTTTAAAAAAGAATTGTGCGCGGGATTTGCACGTCATGGGCCTGGATGACACACACATCGACTTCCTGGTGCAAGCACAGGTTGAGGTCTGATTTCCAGTTAGAAGATTTTCTCCTTCAGTTATGGAAATACTATGACTCACACTTTTAATGCATTTCATGATAGCTGTAGGCAGGGCAGAAAGGAGGGCTGTTATGGGAAACACTCAATGACTCGTTAGCAGTGCTTCCTAACCCTCACAGCAAAGGCCATACAAATTTCCCACATACTGGGCTTCACTCAGTACTAAGCAACAGTGCCACCTGCTGTACCATCATGTCATCGTTTACTTGACCACTGTTTAAAACAGTATATGTTTAAAAACAGAGACCAATATCCTGTAAAACCTAATTTAAAAATTATTTTTGGACACAGCACAGAGGAAACATACTTCGATACTTCGTAATCTATTATTTGGGGAAGCAGTTTAAAAATAAACCAGATTCCATCTCTGCAGTCATTATTCATCTTTGTGAACTTTTAAGTCCAAGCCGGTCATATGATTTATTCCAAATGTTGAGATGTAGATGAATAATCCATCCCTGAAGTAGGAACTTGAAAGAGGAAGTCACAAAATCATGTAACTAAAAGAAAACGATGTTGTCACTTTTAATGGAAGCTCCTAGAATGTTTTGAAAATATAGAAATGCTAGCACAGAAGTATTACATAAAAGCAGGAACAAAGAAATGGATAAACACTATGCAATGCGCACTACATATCTAAATGGACCTCAGACATTATTATAATTGATTACATTTATGCAAATGTAAATATAGGCCTGCATGGCACCCAGGGTAGCTCTCCTTGTTTCTTAATATCCCAATAATGAGCAAAATATTCAAAGTGAACAATTTAATAAAAGGTCGGTTTTGCATTAAAAAAAGTACCGTATTGCTTTTTCATCAGCTTTAATGTTAATTTTCATCAGTAGCTCTGACCGGGCATTTATTTCTCAAGTGGATAAGATATTCCCATATGACATTTTGATTTCTGTCCCATCTTTTTGTATCTTGACTTAATTCGCTTACCGAACTACACTCTCAGGAAAAAAATGGGTAAAATTTGTACCTTTGCTTGTCACTGGGACTGCACCCTCAAGGGTCTGTCAAATGTACCCTTAGCTGTAGGTAATTGTACCATTTAAGGTACAGAACTGGACACTGAGGAACATCTCAAAGGTACAAACAGCATTAATGTACCATCAATGGCCGGTACACCCTTGAGAGTGCAGTCCCAGTGACTGGTATAATGTTTACCCTTTTTCTGAGAGTGTGCTGCCAAAATTTCACTTCTGCTAGAGGTAAGACGTGGGTAAGGAACAATCTGTCAATCCGTATGTATTTTCACGGGAACATTACAAATAAATAAGCAGTAATATTACTTGGAGTGACAAGCCAATTTGATGTATTTCATTTACATGTTATGTATATTTTCCATATGCTACTATTTATCAAAATTTATTAGATAACTTTTTGATCACATTTTTAGTTTATTTTGTATTGTTTAAAAGTTGTGATGATGATGATGATGATGATGATGATGATGATGATGAAAACCCTTTATTGCTGTTGCAATGCACCATGTCACTAGTCACAAGTACCAGCGAAAGGCAGGCCATCAACCTGACCATAAATATACAAACATCACATTACAGGGGGTAGACAGGTCAGGAAGACATGGGATATAGGAAGAATAGAGAAAACAGGATTACATGAGGAGAGAGGAGGAGAATAAAAAAAAGAGCCCCCAGACTGTACTCCAATAGGGAGGACATTGTAGGAACAGAAAAAAACACCTCAGCACATGGTCACTACACCTAACAACATCAAAAGTCGTGACTTGCAACAGGGGTGGGGAATGGGGAGGAGGAGGTAGTCCAGCATAGACAAACAGCAATCCGGTCCTGCAGCCATAGAGGTGCTGGTCACAGACCCGCCTGTTCATGATGGGGGTATGAAGCGGCGAAGGCGTGGGATGGGGGGAGGGAGTCCTTGTGGTTGGGGGAGAGGAATGCAAGAGAGTCTCACTGCCTTGTTCTTCAGGGGGAGTTGTTGAGCTCAGCAGCGGCCTTGGCCAAGGCCCGTGCTGATTAGGGGGGAGCCAAAAGCAGATAGAATGGGGTTGTTTGGGTTTTCAGGCGAGAAACTGTAATTTCTCAGCTCCTCTAATGTCCATGCTGGTCTCCGCCATCCAAAATCCTTTGCAGAGCCGTGAGCTCCTCCGTGATGTTATCCAATCTGCGGTCCATAGTCACGGTGATGTAATCAAATCTGCGGTCATTAGACACAGTGATGTTATCCAGTTTGCAATCTATAGCCATAGTCTGGGCGCCAACAGCTCTGCCAAGTCCGTCAATCATCCCGGCCAGCCTAGTGGGGCTTTGAGCGGCTGTCACCGTTTTCTTCAATTTCCGATAAGTCAGGGCAATGCCTAATCCAATCACCATCAGACCTGTAATCATGGTTCCGAATAGGTAAATGTCTTCTATGTCCTCCATGGAAAGAGCCGCCAGACACACGACCCTCCACTTCTCCCATCCGTCCATCCTGTAGCCAGCTGCGTACGTTCCTGCAGGACAGTCAGGTTCCCCCGAACCTGCGCTTCTCGTTGAGAAGATGCTGTCAGTTGCGTTGAGAGACCAGTTGATCAAATCCATGATTTTCTTAGTTTTGAAGAGCAGGGCTGAGAAAGTCTCTCAAATATAGACAGTAAGACAGTAGACTGGACGAGACGAGAGAAGCAAAGCAGGGAAGATAAGGGGAGGGAGAGGGAGAGAATTGTGCCCGCCTCCACTGAGAGTGGTAAAACAACATAATGATAAACGAACATACTGCGTCTGTAAGACTGTGATCATTGGATGCAAACCTAGTACTTTCTCGGCATGTGCATAGACCCCTTAACATTCAATGCTCCCAGAAAATCTTGGGACGTTTGCTTAATTGAGTAAAAATATTGCAAATTTATTAGTTTCATAACAAAATTCCATTGACAAGCAATGTTTAACATGTCTGCATAGATGTTATCCACAGATATTTTCTTTTTATTAAGCGTCATATTTTTGCTTAGCCTAATAATGAATCAAACATCAATTAAATAATATAATTCACTAAGAGAAGTGGATATTTTTCTGAAAGTACTGCCCTCTAGTGGAAACCGGAAGATCTAACGCATTGTTTTGGCGGCCATTTTACTTTATTTAAAGTAGGCGCTCGTAAGCGGCTTGTCTGCTAGCTGGTTACAAAATAAACCGATAAAACATGAACGCACCACCAGCTTTTGAGTCATTTTTGCTGTTTGAGGGAGAGAAAAAGTAAGTATTGTTACCACGTCTTTGTGTGTGGATGTATGTAAAAGTTTCACTGTATAAGTCGACCCGGCTATGGTAGCGTGGTGCTCTAAGAAGAAATGCAACCAATTTTTAATGTTTCACGTTTGAATGTTTACATATATAAATATCTCCCTGTTAAAAAAAATCCCAACTGATTCTGGTATTTTTTTTATCTTTTGCTGCATTACTTTTTCTTTACTTATTGGCGCGTTGCTGCAGTTCGTTTTGAGAGTATGAATGGTGTTCAGTTGATACTGAGCTGACTTCGCAGTTAAAACCATGCGAGTTGTGATTCTTATTGTATAATTGTATCCACCTATAGAATTACTATAGTAAAGGACACCAAGGTGCCCAATGCCTGCCTTTTCACGTTGAACAAAGAAGACCACACACTTGGCAACATCATCCGATCGTGAGTTCATAAAGAAAGATAACGCAATGTATATGTTACGTGAAAAATGATTAAACTCAGACTGGTGTTTATCATCCAATCAAAATCTCATTCACCTCTAACCGCCCCCCCTGCCCCCCTTGCATTTTAGGCAGCTGCTGAAGGACCCTCAGGTGCTCTTTGCAGGGTACAAAGTCCCCCATCCCCTGGAACACAAGATTGTCATCCGCGTCCAGACCACCCCAGATTACAGCCCGCAGGAAGCCTTCACCAACGCCATCACGGATCTCATCAGTGAGCTGTCCTTGCTGGAGGAGAGGTTCAGGGTGAGTGTGCTGCGAGATGGGTCTGCAGTCTGGAAAAGTATTACCAGCTGTTCGCATGACCAGCATTATACCAGTGGAAATAAGAACCAGCCATATTACTGGTTACCTTTCACATCACATGTGCAAGGTTGCCGGCTCTCACGCATCTGGACACTCGCGCTTTCAGACTCGCACGCTCGTGCAAGAAATCATATGGCAAATTTTATATAATTCCATTATAAACCTAAAATGAGCTACATCAGAAGCGTTGGGGTAGTTGGCAAACCCTGCAGACTACAAGGTAATAAAACTGTTCCGTACATGTAAATGCGTGTGCTGACTGGTCTCGAATTGAAAATCTCACTCCAACCAGCTGACCAAAGTCGGCAACCCTGCAGGTGGTTTGATTTGTGTTATATGCTGAAGACCATGAGTACGATGTCTGTGCAATTTTTGTAATAATGTTTTACCTTCTCGCCTTTTCAGGTGGCCATCAAGGATAAACAGGAGGGTATTGAGTGACCAGTGTCGTCACTGTTCTTTCTCTAATGGAGGCCTCTGACATTGATTATTTATTGAGGATTCGGCTGCAGTTTTCCTTTGTATGTTTCTAAATCATAACAAAATGGGCTATTTGTCCATGTGTTGGGTTATGCTCTGAATATTTCGTGAGGAGAAACCTGTTTTGGCTGCGGGAAAAAAAAACCGTGGAAACTGGGAAGAATTCACAGCCAGCTCAACAATGTTTTACTTTATTTTTGATAAGCTTTCCCCGTGACTCAGCATCCCTTCAGTAAAATCATTATTGGTTGAATATTCCAGACCAAATGAAGCACTTTGCTAATGTTATGATGTTCAAGGTGCTCTTTGAATGTGTTATTCTCTCTGGAACAATTGTACAATTTTCTTTGTACAATTGAAGAAAATTGTAAAATGTCTTTGTTGAAAACTTCTGCGATTGTATATTACTGATGATTCAAATAATAAAAAAGTGTAAGAATTCTCTTTCTCATGTATTGTTATTGGAGATACTTAAAAGCAAAGCCAATACTGGGCTAAGCCTCTGTTCCTGTGATCAGAAGGTCGCCGGTTCGAGCCCAGGCTCCGCACGTCTGTGGGTCCTTGAGCAAGGCCCTTAACCCCCAGCTCCCTGGGCGTCACTACGGGTGGCTGCCCTACGCTGCCAAGCTTGGTCCCACATATGGAGAGTGAGATGGGGTGGGGGAAAACAGAATGTCCCCATGGGGATCAATCAAGTATAATGGTTTAATTACATCATTTCATAAACTCTCAAATCAAAAGCGTGTGGTGGTGGAGGTCTGTGGCTTAGCAGGCTAAGCGTCTGTGATAAGAAGGTCACCAGTTTGAGCCCAGCCTTGGCAGAATAGTCACAGAATAAGGCCCATAACCCCCATCTCAATGGATACTGTAGGTGGCTGCCCTTTCACTGTGACCCCCAACTCTGGTCTTACCTATATGGAGAGCAAGATGGGGCAAAGCAAGAAAAAATTCCCCACAGGAATGTATGAAGTATCACCATATACAGTCTGTATAACTTAAATAGTCAGGTCATTTAACAACCATTGACCCAAATCTATCCACCATATCACCATTGTATTGCACAGTACTGTATTGCTGATCTACTGCCTGCACTTTTTCAGCACTATTGTATTGTATTCTAGTTCAGGGTTCTTCAAATCTGGACCTTGTTTTCAGTTCTCCCAGGTAGTTAGTTTAATAATTACTGATTCTGATTGGTCAGAGGCTTCATACCTGGCTCACAGGTAAAGGAAGGCTGGAAAACCAGCAGTGCTCAGACCTCGAGGACCGTGATTTGAATAACCCTGCTCAAGTTATTTTAAATAATATTTATACTGCACAGATGATTGTCTTCTCTTCCATGCACATATCCGGACCCCCCCCCCCACACACACACACACACACACACACACACACAGATACACAACCGTAGCACAAGAATTTCACTGTATTCTCAGAATACACGTGACAATAAAACTTGGAACGTAATATTTATTCTATCTTTCGCTGTGTCTTTTGGGAACCAGCGTTCGGCAAGCCAGGGTTTCCTGTCGAACACAATAATGCGTTGCACAGCTGCTGTCGGTGCATGGCTTCTATGACATACGTACTGTAAGGATCTATGGCAGCGGAACAGTACAAACCAGCCGAGATTTGTGGCTGTAAAGGAATCCGGTCTTGTCTTATCTGCGAAAAAATCAACGGTAAAGAAAGAGCACAAGACAGCAATCACTCGGTATGTTTCGCGAATTACCCTGTAACTGTAACTGGCGCTTTATTGACTCTGTGGTAAATTATAATGCTTTCATTTTGGGCTGTCGACTCTTAAATTGAAAACAATATTACCAGTTTATGCAGCCACATTTTTGCTTGAGCCGTCCAGCTTATGTACGCGCTAAATTGCACATCAACAGGGCCGTCGTGGAACTGGAAGCGGCAGATTACAATTATGTGCCATTTGCGGTATTAGGTGAACATGGTGTCATCTCTTGGAATAACAAATGATTCAACAAATGATTTTTTTTTATTATTATTTTTATTTTCTAGACGTTACACTATTTCAAGTATGAGCCATCCCTGCGGCAGGCTATACGAAATGAGGGTGGTGTTCAAGAGTCGTTCCCCTTCCCTGGTGTCTTTCTGTGGAAAGACTTCGTGTCGGAGGAGAAGGAGAAAGAGCTGGTGAAGAGAATGGACCAGGATTGTTGGAAGGAGTCGCAGTCTGGTCGTAGGAAGCAGGTGTGAATAGAACTTCACCATATAGTTGACCTACAGTTCATTACACAAATCAAGACTGCTTGAATGTGTCTACCTGCATTGCAAAATTCAGATTTCTTGGTTTCTTATATATTTTCAAGATAACCATTCTTCTTCACCGCCTTCTCTTTGTAGGACTTTGGGCCCAAAGTGAACTTCAAAAAGCAACGTGTCCATTTAGGAGGATTCAGGGGCCTGCCTGCCAGTAGCCGGGATCTGGTGATGCAAATGAGGCAGGAATCATTGTTACTGGGCTTTCAGCCCGTGGAGCAATGCAACCTGGACTATGACCCAGTGCGGGGGTCTGCCATTGACCCCCATCTGGATGACAGCTGGCTGTGGGGGGAACGCCTGGTCACCCTCAGTCTTCTCTCGGACACAGTCGTTACGATGAGTAGGAACGACCGGCTGGAAGAACTCCAGCTGGGAAACGTGCAAGGAGAAGTACGAGTGTCGGTGGAGCTTCCTCGCAGGGCGCTGATCGTGCTTTATGACGAGGCTCGCCACAGGTGGAAGCACGCCATCTACCGGAAGGACATCTGTGAGCGCCGGGTGTGCAGCACGTACAGGGAGCTGTCAGCGGAGTTCCTCCCTGGTGGACGGCAGGAAGCCCTTGGGAAACAGCTACTGGACGTAGCCCGGAGTTTCCAAGGAGTGCCCGTATGAAGTTCTGCATGTCATTGCAACCGATATGCCTCTGCTAAAATTGTACCTGGAAAATTTGGGGTAATCAAAAAGAACTTTTCGTAGAGCATAGACACTCTCATATCTGCTTCCATATTTGTAAGTTTTCACCCAGGAATCTGGAACGTAATTATGGACAGTTGCTCATTTATGAAGTACAGAGAGAGAGGATCTCAAACTGAAATGCGGGTTGTAGGAAACTTTCTGGACGTGCAGATTGTGTTTGTCACTCAGCATTCTGGGAAATGTGCAACAAGCCCCTTGGAATGAAAAGTATTTGATAGTGATTCTGAAATATGTTGGGCAGTGGTGTTTTATATTCTCCAAATATATTATGCCAAAGATTTGAATTAGAATAGTTTAAGCGATAATAAAAAACAATTGTCTCTACTGTGTTATTTTTTAAACCTGAGAAATATGTGTTGTGCGATTTGTAAAAAAAACAAAAAACAAAAAAAAAAAACAATAATTGTATTTGTATTATAAACTATAAATACCTGAGGGAAAATTAATATTGGGGGAAAAGGCATTTCCTAAAGTTATGAATGTAAGCAGCCAGGCCCATTGGCAGAATTAAAATCATTCAGCAGATTTCGCAGAAGCTGAAGCAAATTTTGAGGGGGTGCAAACTCTTGATTTTAATACTCGGCTACGTACCACATCGGTAAAAAAAAATCATTGGGTGTTAAAACCCAGTTTGTTATTGGTTTCCTTTGTAATACCATATATTTTATTTTATATATTTTATTTTCAGTAATACTTCAAGATGGCGGCGCGAGCAGACGTATGCGCGGCGGCCTCTCCATGTGACCTTAACCTTATGCATTTTAAAACATTTTATAGAAGGAGTCCATGACACTAAAAGATATGCCAGGCACAAAGGACAATAGTAAAAATAAAACTATAATCAAAACTATGCGTAATTGATGATTTCTGTAAACTGTGTACCGCTGTCATACACATGACACGCTAAAGCATAATATAGCCGAAGTACCGACGACCCTGTACACGACAAGCAGGGGACCGACCGATGGGGGGCGCTAAAGCGCAGCAGAAGTTGACACGCTCAACATGGCGTCGTTACGATGCTTTGTTGCGTTTTCATCCGGGTCAAAGTTGAAATAAGTTTTTACCTGGGGGAAAAAAATCACGTGTTATAAGTGAGTATATGGTTAAGATGTTGATTCATAATGTATTAATCTATATTTTTCAAAATATGCACTTTATTTTAAGTAGATCGTTTTCTATATTGGTATCAGTTAGTGGCAGACAATATGTAGTGGACTCTCTGACACATTAAATACTAGAAATAAGCCGGTTAGAGGACAACTGTTTTAAATGTCCGGTTTTTATTGCGTGTCTTTCTGGTGTTTTACTTGGTGTGGTGTAGTAGCTAATTGGGAACCAATGCTATTGGGATCTAAAGTTTTCCCAATGAATACAACTGAATTTGTATTCAGTTTTCCCCTAATGTATTTCATTACCATGTGCACAAGTAATACATGCATCGTAGCAAACTTGCAAAAACAAAAGAGAAAAAGAAAAAACACGTCTGCCACTTCTCACAGAGGAAACCATTTACACGTGAAAAGCCAACGAAACCCTGGCGAAAGGTGTAAATTGACCACTTCTCACGACACCGATTCACACCCTCTGAAATCCAACCTCTAAAAAACGCTGCTTGGTCACACCCCCTAACAAAATATATAGCTATTTGCTGCCCATGCAATAATATCAGTCAGTTTGGTTGCTCCGGTGCTGGTTTCAGTCCTTCCTCTTGTTCCCCGACATCAGCCATGGTAAAGATAACGGAGAACATGCTGCTGGAGAGAGGGACTCCAAAAACTGACAAACTGGAGCACATCAGGACGCTGAAGTACGTATCGTTTACAGGACGTGAGCCTTCACACGAGATAACGTTCATTTCAGACGAGTGCAGTGTGTGGTGTGTAAATAAGCAAATATGTTGTTGTTATTATTACTAGTATTCTGACTGTATTGTTATTGAATTTGTATTTTTCAAAATATATTTCTATTTTACTTTAAATTTTTTTAGTTTAAAAAAACAAGCCATAGGTCTTACTTCAGTTATACTTCAGAGTGTTATGTAGTGGATTAATATTGTGCAACTAGACCAATCAAAATGTTTTAAAATGAATAAATCATATTTTGTTTTCTAATGTGAAGCATGACATTGTTGCATTGTGCTCTTCCACCCGGGAAGATCTCTCTATTTAGCCTGAAATGAAAAGGTTCCTGCTTAAATCAGACTGGTAGCTGTCGGGTGTGGTCATCTCCCTCTGAGTATCCTGTCTCTGCTTTCGTCCCTCTAGCTTGTCAAAGCTTGGCTTATGCAGTAAGGACTTGCCCGTCTCTCTGCTCTGCCGGCTCTGTAACCTGGAGCAGCTGGACTTATCTGGGAACCGCCTGGAGGGGCTGCCCTCGGGTCTGCGCCTGCCTTCCCTGCGCGTGCTGGACTGCTCTGACAACAACATGGAGAATGTGGCCTCCCTGCAGAGCCTGTGTGCCCTGGAGGAGCTGCGGCTCGAAGGGAATATCTACCTCACAGTGAGGAGCCGTTTCTCCACTTGTTCCCTGCAGACTTACTGATGACTCTCTGTTAACTCGCACCTTCCCCTCTCATTGGCCTGCAATTCACATTCAAATTCGTTCTTTCTTATGGAACGAGAAGCCGCCCAGAGCGTTTCCCCCCCCTAGGGGAGCATCGTTAAGTGCCGTCGGAGCCGGTTACTGGCGTCTGACCGGCGCTTGTGTCTGCTTGTGTCTTCTAGGTCAGTGACCACTACAAACTGATGTTCCTCTTGTCTAAGCTGAGGGTCTTCGATGGCAAAGACATCAGCTCGACGGCACGCCACCTGCGCCATGTCGAGAGTGAAAATCTTAGGAAACGGGTACAATGTTTTTCCCTCCTGCTTTATTATTTAATTTAGATAATACAACTGGCTAAATCCTCAATGTGCAAGATCGACATCTTTCGTCAATGTCAGATGGTCAGGATTTTGGGTTTAGGTGGTGTATATAAATCTTAACTACGTCTTATTTGCTTCGCATGAGCTGACTTGTGTGCATGTTTGGTGTTTTCTTATATATATATAGGTGGTTGGATTGTGGGAGGCAAATTTTTCCCTGCCTGATAACCCAACAGCAGAGAAGCTGAAAGCTCTGGAGGGCGAGTTTGTGCGGGCGGCACGGGCTCAGATAAAGTATGGCCCCAGTTCCGTCAATGACTACATCAAGTGGAGGGTGAGAAGCTCTGTCTTGGTGCAGGAACTTCCACAAGCTCGTGCCAAGAATGAGGATTACCTTCCATTAGCGTGTCTTAGGAGGATGCTCATCCTGTTGTCTCCTAGGTGGAGATGCTTGCGAAAGAGTACCTGCGCTCACTAGCTGAGAGTGAACGGGAGGAGCGCGGGGGTGTTAGTGCCATGAATGAGGTCGGCGTAAGTTCATTTCCAGAACTATCAGCTGCCGGTATAAATTGTCAGCCAGAGGAAACATTAATAATCGAGCATTTTTCTGTCCACCATTGTATAGCTTTTATTGATCCCACAGAGAAATTCTTGCACATATAACAGCAGGGAACCTAAAGCACAAACGAACATAACGTAGTGCAAAATGTGCAAGGACTGTACACATAGAGCAGACAAGTACATTTATTATGTGCTGTATCTAGGGCTACAACATTCTGGGATTTAATTAATTCCCACATGTTCCCAATAATTCCAATGGTAAATTTCCAACTTGGAATATTTCCAAAATTTCCCAGTTTAACTTCCCATGGAATGGAAAGTTTCTGGAAAGTTCCCAGAAATTTTCGGCCCCCTTGTCAACCCTAGTTATATCCATATTATGATGGTATTGGGCCAACGGGGTCAAACTTGTACCGAACCTGTTCTTCTTTAGAGATTATTAGACATTGCTGTATACTGGATGGACTTTTGCTCAGAGCTCATTCCTGTTATAGCAGGGTGTGCTGTCTACCCCCAAGAGGAAACAGGAGGCCACAGGGGTGGTTGAAAACGACGGCAGCACTCCGAAGAGACCCCGGAGAGCCGACACACCACCTGCTGAAGACAGCCCCAGGAAGTCGAGCCGCCTGCAGGGCACTCCTGTGAAGGTCGACAAACCCATGGAAAGCTCTCGAAAAGGTGATGGAGGGTTGGGCAGCCCCAGGAAGTCAATCCGCTTGCTGACCACACCCGTGAAAGCCGACAAGCCCATGGAAAGCCCTAGAGAAGGTGATGGAGGGTTGGGCAGTCCCAAGAAGTCGATCCGCTTGCTGACCACACCCATGAAAGCCAACAAGCCCATGGAAAGCCCTAGAGAAGGTGATGGAGGGTTGGGCAGCACCAGGAAGTCAATCCGCTTGCTGACCACACCCGTGAAAGCCAACAAGCCCATGGAAAGCCCTAGAGAAGGTGATGGAGGGTTGGGCAGCCCCAGGAAGTCAATCCGCTTGCTGATCACACCCGTGAAAGCCGACAAGCCCATGGAAAGCTCTCGAAAAGGTGATGGAGGGTTGGGCAGCCCCACTGGGAAAAGGCTGAGGGGAGAAAGCCTCAGAATTCTGGACGGCCCAGGCAAGGCCACTCCCCTTAAGGGGAAGAAGGTGGACGACTTGTTTATGCAAGCGCACGATGCCAAGCCCAAGGTAGCCAGTCCGCCGAGATCCCAGATTATAGTTCTGTTTGCCGAACACGAGCTTTGTGGCCCTGTGACGTGACTCGGTCCGAGCGTCCCCGGCGCCAGGCGTTTTCGGGCCCCACTCATGTGCCATCTCTCCCAGGAGCCCGTGACCCTGCTGCCCCTCCACGTGCTGCAGTGCCACAGTAAGCGGGACAGCCCTGAAGATTTCAGCACTCAGCTGTGGGCCTGTGCCTTTGAGCCCCCCCTGGAGGACTGCAGTGAGTATAACACCTAATTTATAGTTCTGCGTCAAATCGACACTGTAAGTAAAGTGCGGCTGCATACCCTACACAGTAGCCTGGCACACATCTCCCTAGAAATGTAACTACACGTCGTGGCGACGCACACCACAAGAACTGTGATTGGTTCACTTGGTAGCATTTAAAAAAATTTTTTTGGGAACGATGAAAGTGTACCTCCCAGGTGTACTTATGTGGTTGATTGAACCTGAAGCACCATTTATATCTAGCGTTAAATAATCCACCCTAGGCTATAAAGAGCATTTTAGTGGATGAAAGTGTAGATGAAAAGTAATATAAAGTAATGTTTGTGTTTTTTAATGACAGTGCGGCAGTGTGGACGCAGCCTGAGTCTGTGCGCTGTGCCTGCAGGGATGAGACCGCATTTACCCTCCTTTTGCGTTGCTGTTTTTTTTACACCTCTGACGCAGATTCCAGCCAGGAGTCCCGCATCGTGGCCACTTGTGGGGGGGAGTCTGTGTGTCTGATAGACTGTGAGACGGGACACGTGCTCAAGAAGTACAAAGTGCCTGGCGAGGTCAGTGCCTTCTGTGTCCTGCCACTCAGACCCCCGAGGTGCTGTCTCTGTCTGCCTGTTGCCCTACTTGCCCCCCATAGGTGCTGTCTCTGTCTGCCTGTTGCCCTGTTTGCCCCCCATAGGTGCTGTCTCTGTCTGCCTGTTGCCCTGTTTGCCCCCCATAGGTGCTGTCTCTGTCTGCCTGTTGCCCTGTTTGCCCCCCATAGGTGCTGTCTCTGTCTGCCTGTTATTCTATTTGCCCCCCTCAGGTGTTGTCAGTGTGTTTCCCTATTTGCCCCCCTAGGTGTTGTCAGTATGTTGCCCTATTTGCCCCCCTAGGTGCTGTCTCTGTCTGCCTGTTACCATATTTGCTCACCTGAGTGCCCCCTGCAATTCCTTCCCATGCCACTGCGGGGGGGGGCGCGCACCATAAAGATGTTACAATGCCTCACTCTTTTTTTCTGGGACCTGCCCCCTCTGACTCCCAGGAGTTCTTCTCCTTGTCCTGGACGCGCTTGATGATGTCTCGGGATGGGGGCGTGGTGCGGCCATGCACCGTCCTGGCGGCGGGGGGCAAGAGGGGGATAGTGAAGCTGATCCACCCCCGGGCCAGCGTGGCCTACGGGGAATTCCGCGCTAGCCGGCGTTCCCTCTCCACGCTGCGGTTCAGCTCCCAGCAGCAGAGCTTCCTGTTCAGTGAGTCCCCCCCCCCAGTCCTACAGCACCCACTCAGCCACGCTCTTCACTCACTGATTGGTCTCTCGCACACCGACAGCTGGAGCGTACGACAACAAGATTGTGATGTGGGACGTCGGTGGAATGGACAGCAACTACAAGTTTGAAGTCAGGTTAGTGTCCTGCATTTGTGTGGCACCCTGGGGTGGGTCTATAAAGGCTGCACTCACACTGCCCCCCATCTGCAGCCAGAGGTAGGTAGGTAGGTAGATAGATAGATAGATAGATCATTATCCATGTATCTAAAAAAATAAATGCATAGATACGCAGGTATTTTCTTACATATTTTCTTTATTTTTTTTTCTAAGAAAATAGAAATACACAGATATTGTCTTAGATTTTTCATTCCATTTTCTTAGAAATAAAATTTCAAAATCTATCCACCTGTCTATTTCTTTGATAGATAGGAAATATGTATCCTTCCTTCCTTCTTTCAAAGGGTATAGATTTGCGTATGGGCGATAGGGACATGCCCCTACCAATACCGTAAGAATTCCGTGTGTTTAGGAGTTATCTATTATTTTTCATACCACCATACCTTCTAGACATTTATACATCCTAAAAACCTAAAACTCTTAGGTTAGGGAAGTGGTCTGGACGGATGGATGGATGGATGGACGAATGGTTGGAGCATCTGCATGCATTTGTGATACTGATTGAGTCTTAGAGATCATAACATGGTCAGTGATAAAGGGTGAATCTTGAATTCTTGAACAGCCATCTGATCCCTTTGAGAGAACATTGCCCCCCTAGGAGGCCCTGTCTCATGCTTCTCCCCATGTGCAGGCAGCTCCTGGTGCTGGAGACAGACTCGACCCCTCTGCAGCTCGGCCTGCCCCCCTCTGGGCCAGATTCGCACCTTCTAGCTGGCTGTGATGGAGGTCTTCTTAACTTCAACATCCAGCTCAGTCAGAACGTGCTTAAGAGGTCAGACGGCGGATGTTTGTTACCCTCACGGTCCTGCAGTGATTGATTTAGAGTTGTCAATGTGTTATATGATAATAGAAATAACAGGTTTGTAACAAAGGATTTAGGACTGTATTGTTTTGTCTTGCTTAGCCAGATAACTTGTCGGATTTAAGGTAGCCTGAGCTAAATGCAAGTGACTGAAGATAAAGTCCATTTAGCCCAGACTACCTTAAATCCAACAAGATATCTGGCTAAGCAAGAAATCCTGCTTCTTGGAGCACCTGCCTGGTTGCATTGAGATAACCGTACCCTAATCCTAGTGAGTAACGGTTTGCACAAATTCAGTAAATGTGTTTCGCCTGTCCGCTAGTCACATGATCACCAGAAATCTTGTGATGCGGGCTGAAGGTGTCGTGAAACTTCTTTGGTTCTGCCATCCCTTAGATCTCCGGTGATGGAGATCACGTTTCCTGTGTACAAGAAAGACGACCGGGACAGGCACTACCGCACCGTGGATGGCTTGGGCTTCCTCTCGGAGGATGTCGTCGGTGGGTCTTAAAGCTGCTAAGATGCTGCTCAGAACCATTATACCAACGCGAGGGGTTGGGCTGTTTGTGACACTGCAGGATAGGACTTGCGGCCCATATCGGAAGGTCGCTGGTTCAAAGCCCGTGGTCGGCAGAGTGATTTCACTGAGCAAGGCGCTTAACCCCTAGTTGCTCCAGGGACTGAATTTTATGTCGCTTTGGATAAAAGCATCTGCTAAATAAGTGAATGTAAGCGACAAGAGAAACTAATACTTAGATCCGTTTTGTTCAACCATTTGATTCACACAATTTCTGCTGTTAACATCTTTGGCCTCTGGGCATCATGTTCCAGAAGGGGGGGGGCACAGAATAGGCAGTTCTCAGAATGTTCTTATGACTTCGTCACCTTAATTTATAAAGAATAGCCTAGATGACAAAGTGTGTGTCACCCTTCGATTTGACTAGTGGGGAACAAAATTCAACGTTTACAGTGTGCCCTGAAGCAGTGAACACGTGCAGTTGAATCTGTAAAACTCCTGGTCACCTGACTACCGAAAGACCCATGTGACTCCGCCCCCCACCAATCTCACACAAACTTTCGCCCCTGTAGTGTCCAAGTGCCACATGGCAGGTTGTATCTACCTGTGGAGCTGGAGACGCACCCAAGCCACTCGGCCCAACAAAACCAAAGAGGTACCCGCTGCCATCCTGGCTGTGCTGCAGTGGTCCTGCACTGACGTCCCGTACCTCTCTCTCAGCACCTGTCCCAGTGAGTAGCTGGTCGTCATGAAGGCCTCACATACCTGACCTGCTCTCAGGACCTGCTGCTCTCTTCAGTTTGCCTGTTGTTGATGAGTTTGACCCCCTAAACAGGCGAAGGGTATGTGGTATGTGGGGACGAGGACGGCCAATTGTGGACTTACCATCTCCCAGACATTTCCAGGGCTGCAGCAAAGACTGACAGAACTATTTCACCCACCGAGGTATAGTACAGATTTTACTTTTTGTTTTTTTGTATTCTTTTTTCAGTGCAGTCATTTCCATTACTTTTGCAGTTGTCTTTAGCTCTGTCGCTGCTAACTTTGAATATCGATGAAGTTTAAATATCAGCCGGCAATAGGACTTTCAACAAATATTGGCCGATTCCGATGTCAAGTGATGTATCATGCACCTATGTTAATGAAAAGCATTATCGATTTTCTTAATGTGGTGCTGTGTGTAAGGTGCCTTATTGTGTGTGTGATCTCAGGAAATACAAGTCAAAGGAGTAAAGTAATAAACATGCACATAACATTACCATGGGGCCTGTAATCCCGACCCAATAAACACACAATGCATGATGGCGCCTCTGATTTCCTGGGGCTGTTTAGTTTGAGTAGTGAAAAATGTCACTAGAACGATAATCTATGTATTAGCGACCATGTTGGTACAGAATGGTTCCTGCAAAGCATTTATTTATGCTTTTTTTATGATTGACCTTAATTGTCATCTGAAATGTATGTTAGCAGACACGCTAAGGAGAGGCGCTCGTTGCTTTCCCATTTTAGGTTCTGCAGTGGCCTTCGCCCGTCAGGAATGGAGGCGGACCCGTGGAGGGGCCGTCCATCAACAGCGTGGCGGTGGGCCCCAGGGTCCGATACCTGGTGGCATTAAGCGACAAGAACATGGTTATTGTGTGGAAGAGGTTGTAGCTCTTTAAGTCACACTCTTTTTCCGAGAGACCATACAATAGAGCTTTAGGTTTCATTTAATTTTTCATCTCATTCTCATGTTTTTAGGCAAGAAAGACTTTTGAGAACAATTATGTATAGGTGTTTATGTATTAAGTGAAATCCTTTCAAAATATGCTGTTTTTACTTTTAATGCCAGTTATTTTTAGTCTTTTTATCTTTTAAAGTTTGTATGTTTTGTTATACTTGCAAAAAATGTATGATATAATCATACACCACCTACAAATTTGTCCTGTTTTTATTTATTTAAAAAAAAAAAAAGGTCCTATATAGCCCCCTCACTCGACCCCAATCTAATCCCTAATCCTCCCACACCCCCCAACCTCTACAGTCTGCAACAGCCTCTACATGCTGCCCTCATCACTTAAAAATTTTTTTTATTGAAAGCCCAGCTTTGGTTGATTTGTCTCAGTATGGTCAGGTTCACCAGAACCGTGTCTGTGGCTCTCCTTTCATGTTTCACCACCAAGTGACACTGCTTAAATTTTGGGAAAGTTTGTCTCAAAATGAAATATACTCCATATATACAATGTTCTGTGGAAGTTTGAAAAAGATCCATTAAATACTTTTAGAGTTACTGTGTTTAAATGTCTACTGCAGCCTCCATAGACACTCACCTAGTGCTGTTGCTTCAGTTTTTGTCTTGAGATTAAATCAGGTGTAGATCTTCATCCATATTATGTTTTGGTGAAGTGGTAGTAAGATCCATCTGCCAATAAGCGACATTGCTTCAACTTTGTTGTGATTTGTCTCAGAATTGATCAGTTTTAGTTCTTCATACATACAATGCAAAGTCTGAATAAGACAAACTTTATTAATCCCGCCAAGGGAAATTTCAACATCACAGCAGCAGCTACATATGTCTCTGCAGGAGCAGAGTAACCAGGATCGTCAAAGACCTGTCTCACCCCAGTAACTGCCTGTTCAACCTGCTTAAATCTGGCAAGCACTTCAGGAGTATTATGAAAAAAACAGATTAGCTGAAGAGGAGCTTCTGTCCTCAGGGTGTAATGCTTGTGTGCGTGTAATGTCCTGTAATGATCTGTCATATACTATTTGAGCTATTGTGCAAGCGGAATCAAGTGTCTGAAATTACCGTTCTTCCTAACTAAGTGGCGCTGCTTTGGTTTTGGTGCAGTCTGTACTGCGTGTCCAGGGAATATATTTAAACTTGTATACAAAGAGATGTTATCAAGCACCAGCTCCAACAAAAGGCATTTGCTGTGATCTCTTGCTCCTACTCAACATGCAAAATGTGGCAAAAAATATACCAGCAAATGTACAATTTAGACTTCGTTTGAAAAGATCTGACCTAGACCTTTGACTTCCTCTGCCGCCCCCTGGAGGACGGGCTCCCCCTTCGGGTCTGGTTAGGGTTAGGGCTTCCTCTGCCGCCCCCTGCAGGACGGGCTCCCCCTTCGGGTCTGGTTAGGGTTAGGGCTTCCTCTGCTGCCCCCTGGAGGACGGGCTCCCCCTTCGGGTCTGGTTAGGGTTAGGGCTTCCTCTGCTACCCCCTGGAGGACGGGCTCCCCCTTCGGGTCTGGTTAGGGTTAGGGCTTCCTCTGCCTTCTTCCTTCTAGGGAGATATTCCTTGCCACTGTCGCCTCTGACTTGCTCACTGGGAGCTTTAGGCAGGAATAATGTAAAGCGCCTTGAGACAATGTTGTAAAAATGCACTATACAAATAAAACTGAATTTAACATAAGGTGTACATGGTGCCGGAACTTCCCAAAAGGAAAAGCTAATGTCCGACTTGAAATATACTGACAATGTGTTGAAACTAAAGATTCTTAATGATTCTTAACTAAATCTACCAAGAAAGCAGGAAAAAAACAACAATGTTAGTCTTTGAAATAGTCAGGTGTATCCATAAGGATTAATCTAACTTCTTTGCAGCAGTATGGTTTAAAGAAAATAAGAATTTTGCATATTATTTATCAGAATTCTGTACATAGTGACTGAATTACTGATTCTGACTGAAAGCCAAAAAAAACCTGTACAGTAGGTAAATGTTTAGAATTGCCCCAGTAATCTCTGGAAATTATGTCATGCGTATTTATTATTCATATTTATAGGTGAGGCTTTGCTGCTGGTTATATTATTCATAGTTTTTTTTTTTTAAGTTTTTGCTTACAGCAGCAAATCTTAGTGTTCTTACCGTAGTTGTGGCCTGATCGATATAATCAAATAGTTTTCATAAAAATATTCAGATTTCTATATATGTCACAGTGACAATTCCTTTAGGTTAATTTGTTTAATAGCCTGTGAGTAAACTCGCTTGTTATGTAAAGATTTGTAAAGATTTGGTTCTTATAATTTATTAGCATACATTCGCAACGGGAATCACCGCGATTATCGCAGGTACAGTTGACCGCAGTAAGTTCTCTTTCTTGCCACCAGGGGACAGAATTTACAGGGAGAGCCTTGTTTGCCTATACATACAACATGCGAATTTTGGTGGATGGTTTTAAATGTGGGTGGCTCGATGGGTAGTTAAAGGCTTGAATCACACCATTACTCTGCTTATGTGCAATTTGCATTCTTTTTCAGGGTCATGCAGGTCTTCTGCCACAATCCAAAAGAAAGCAGTTACCCATTACCCATCCCTTTCAGGGCTCGTGCCTACCTTGTGCCTTGTGCTACCTCGTATAGGCTCCAGGCCCCCCTACAGCCCTGTTCTGGATAGATGATTGGAATACTGTATATATAGATAGACACTTAACATAAAATCACCATGAAATGAATCATGGAGTAGCATGGGTTTGTGTTAATAGACTGACACCCTAACAATAATACGAAATATAAGAACTATAATCGCGGAGTAAATAGCGTAGTAAATAACGCTCCTGTTGTCATAGTTTCTTCTGAAACTATCACGGCGTATAATTTATTCATAAGTAAACGTTACATCATGCTAGACGCAAGACTTCGCTTTGGATTTTGGTCTTCAGCCTATTGTCTGAAGGTGAACTGTTTCCTGATTCAGCCCTCCTTAGCGTCGCCATGCGGTATTGCGTAATGCCCCTCCCACCCCGTCTAGATAACACAAACACTTTTATTGTTTTTACGCCGCACGGCCCACGTCGCCTATGTTGTTCACCTTATCACAACTGGCTTGCCTTCGCCATTGTTCTTACCGTAACTTCTGCACTGTAACCCCACGGTGGGCGTGGCGAGGCACCATAGGCCCGCCCCCAGACTATGTGATTAGACAATATGGTGAGTGGCCTGACCAATAGGGTGCTGGCGGAGGCCTTTCTGCATATAGACTCGGTCCCCCTGTAATTTGTACGTAGTGCTGAGCTGTGGGGCTGAATCGTGTTAAATGGCTTGATAAAGCGGCCGTGTTGACTCAGCCGAAGGTAACGGTGCACGGTCAGTGTACTAAAGGACAAAGGAGCCGAAAATGCGACGGGGACTGACGGGAAGAGCTTTTGAGATGCTGGCTTGCGGTTCACTCGCCAGCCTGGGGATGACAAAGATGTTTTCGCCCATCACGAGGGCGGTCGCCCCCCTTTCTGCGAGCCGCAGGCTCCGGTCCACCTCCTCGATGCAGGGCTACTTCGAGCTGGCTCGGGAAAGGTCCAAAACCGTCACTTCGTTTTATAACCAGTCGGCCATCGACGCGTCCGCCGAAAAGGTAACTCCCTGGGAAATGCGGCTCCGCGCAGCATCCTGCGCGCGTTCATGCTCGGCCGGCCGGGCGGGTGCACGCTGGCCTGGGCGCTGCCGCGAGCTGCGGTTATCCCCCATGAGCCCAGGTCAGGCTTCGATCGCCGTGCACGATGGCCGAGGTTCCGTCTATGGCCTGGAAACCTTCCTGTTACCCTTTCTCTGCCACATAGTCCTAACTGTATATAACACAGGGCGAAAATCAGATGCGCACGATGTGAGTCGATATGCAGCACTGGTACTTTACGATCCTGATTGTTTTTTGCGTTACAGTGTTCAGTATTCAGACAGATTTTGGCTGGCAAATGTATTTATTTCCCCCTTTTGACGTCAGGGTACAGTCCATCCTGCAGTTGGAGATGCTAGGCTTGTCATCGATCTGTCCACTTTGCTTCGTAATCAGGATTGTTTCGATATCGGAAGCGAATTGTTTCGATATCCCCTGCCCCACCTAAATTATTTGGATAAATAAGCAGAAGCGAAAATAGCGAGGTAGTTGATCTGGTCCCACGTGTGCTGAGTGATAAGGGCACGACATTTGCAAACTGCACGGCCGGGGCAAAGCAAGGTCAGAAAGCGTGGTGCCTTCAGTGCATAGAGAAAACTCAACGCAACGGCATAAGAGAAGCTTTATTAATCCTGCAGTTGGCTATACAACATAAAAACAGAAGAACTGGAATATACAAAAAAGTGAATATGTGTACATCCAAAAGTGGACGTCTTCAGATGCTTAGAAGTTGCATATAGTAAAACAGCTGTGTAGAAGAACAGCCATAATCTTGCTGAAGTCAGAATCCCCTCTATCTGAGATAATCTCGCTAAATATGTACAGTAGCACATGTTGGTGAAGTGCATGTACTATGTAATATGTGCAATAATAATCTGTTGCTGTACGCTGCTGCAATAAATAGCTCTGGTTATTCCCTTAACATTGTATATGGCATCTTCGCAGATATTTTTGAACATATTTTGTATGATTATTTTATTTTTAGCTGTTATTTTGAATCTATTAATGCACCTTGGGGTTGTCACGAAAGTAACTTTGTTCGTGTTACACAACGACAATGAAGAGCTTCAATCTCGAATTTCTGTAGGTCCCGTCTTCTAACTGTTGTTAGTTTTTACTTTTTTTTTTTTTTTTGCATAAACGGTTAATTGATTTGTAGTGTTTCTTGCCTAAAGAGAATTGTTTGTAGGTTCATTCAAAATATATATGAAATCCCATAACATGGTAATGTGGCCTGGGTGTCGTTAGAAGCATATATCGGTGTTTTGAGGCCACGCCATGTTTGGGATGCCTGCAGTGTCAGATGGAATTCTGGGCAGCACACCTCGTGGGAAAGTGGGGGTGTATGAAGTTGAACTGGCATTGCTGGTTTGAAGATGAACACACTCCATGTTTTTGCATGGCCTTCCCAATGCGCTTGGGAGAGAGGATCTCTAAAACAGCGACGGCTGAATTTCACGGAGGAACTTGGTGTTTCGTCTCCTTGCCCACATGGTTTAAATGATCTGAGTGGGTGTAAGACTCTCCTCAAACTTCACTTTTAATCTGTGAGAGACCCTGTCTTTGGCGGCCAATGTCTGAGCTGATTATTAATAAGACATTTTTATTCTGTGTCTCCAAGTTAATCTGCTCTATGAATAATGATACATAGTCTGTACTTCCACTCACTATAAATGTTTGTGCGAAGTGTAGAATTGGGCAAGAGTTTTTGAGTTAAATGTTGGGTGTCAGGTTACATCTGATCTGAAGAAGTGAGCTTTTGCTTCTCTGTTCAGCCGGTCTTGTTTGTGGCGCTGTGTAGCTTAGGTGCCTCTGCCAGGTACAGCACAGCCCCTCGTGACCTTAGGCGCTGCGTCTTTTCATTCACACCAGCTTTAAACCAGCTTTCCCTTTTTCTGGTTCCCGTCATCCCAGCCCTTTGTGTGAGGCACAAAAAGAGCCACTTTGTAAAACAGCCGCTCTCTTAGTGATTTTTGGCAAAATTGGCTCTCGTGCAGGCTATATTACAGATTCCCGGCAAAAACCACACAAACAGGTTTTCTTGCGCCTCTTCCTCTAGGCCTCGGTCAGACTGACGCCAGCCACCATGCTGTACGCTGGAAAGTCGCAAGATGGACATCACATTCTGGTAACTATTTTTCTTTTTCTTCCTTAGCCATTTTTTTCCCTCTCAAACCCAATGGTGGGAGGGGTCATGTGTGAGTTTTTTCGTGTTGCTTAGCGAGTAGCAGGTGTGTCGAATCTGCTTTACTTGATAAAAATATGACGAATGGAGAAAACATAAGCAGTTGGAAGTAGGTCATTTGTACTTAATGGCCGTGCTGTGCCTTTTAGTTAAGAGACGAACTGGCCGAGTCTTTATCAGAAAAGTGAAAGATTATCTTGTTCTGTTTGAACTGCTCCCCCGATTCACAGGCGGACCTGAAGGGTCAGCAGCTTTTTTTTGTTGTTGTACAGACCTGCCAGCTGTGCTGTGTTAAGCACTGAGAGGTGGGTCTGTACCAAGGGCAGAATTCCTCTGTCATGTTAAAGTTTTCTGTTGTTTGGCTTTTAATCAGTTGAAAATCTGGGTTAAATGGGGGGGAAAAAATAAACAAGTGTGGTCTTTCGCAAACTAAGAATTAATCCACATAAATGTGCTGTGCTGAAAATCGAACTGCAAGTGTCGTACGGAGCACAAGCTGTGTAACGGACCGCTGTCTCCCGGCCGCTTCTCTGCAGAGCCGCTGGATGAGCAGACTGGACTTGCCGTCTTTCCTCTATCCATCGCGGGCCGTGCTCCGGTTTCATTCCACAGTGGCCTTGATCGGTGGGAAAAGTTCAAAAGCTGTTTGGTTTTGCTCAGCGCAACCTTTCATCCAGTCACAATAACATCTATTTTAGATGTTGCGCATGTTTTGCTCGTCTCGTAAAACAGCACTCGGTTCACATTCGTGATAAATAATGGAATATTTTCAGTCCTGTTTGTGCTAAAGGCTCAGAATGGTGCTGCCCGTAGCCTGGCTAGCTAGCCGTGTTGCGTAACGATAGTAGGATTTGCGCGCCTGGTTTGTGTGTTGACTCTTGTTATGACAGGGCCTAAAATGTGGAACTGGTGTGATTAGTCATTGGGAACCTTCTCTGTGTGCATGTTGCATTTTATCTGACTCTCCCTGCCCCCGCCCCCCCCCCTCCAGAGCAGTGCCAAATATCTGCAGAAGGAGCTGCCTGTGCGCATTGCCCATCGCATCAAAGGCTTCCGCAGCTTACCCTTCATCATTGGCTGCAACCCCACTATCCTGCAAGTGGTAGGTCCCTTCCCCAAGGGCTGTGCCGAACCATATTGCCCACGACAATACCGGTGCAGTGTTTGATACTATTAATAAGTCATATGTTGATATTAAAGATATTGCGACGCACCATCAACACAGTCTCACAAACAGGGTTCTGTATCACGAAACGAGATTTGTTGGTTTGCCACGTTACTTATCAGATTTAAGGTACCCCAGTTTAAATGGACTTTTTTCGTTCGCTAAATGGGTGATAGCCCAAAAATTCAGTTTCGTGATGGAGGCCCCTGGATCTGTGTGTGTGTGTGTGTGTGTGTGTGTGTAACGTTTCGTCATGCAAGTAAAACCCAACGAAATTGCTCTCGCAAGACTGGCAATGTGACGTATCGATGTATAAGCTAACAAAGTGGAAGCCAGCAGGGCCAAAAGCACAAATTGTGTGTCAGTTTCTGAGGATGCTTCCTAAAAAGGAAGCACGATTTAGGTCTGATGTCCTGTAACCAAACGATGATCATTTGTAAACTATGCAAGAAAGATACAACGGCTGAAGGTGGCAATACAGCAAATGTCAACACCTTAAGTGAAGGCACCTGCGTGTGCATGATGAACGTCAAACATCGCGTAGAGAGAAGAGCCTGGTGGCCGATCCCAGAGCTAAATCAAGCGGACAAGTGACACTGAGTCAGCCTAGAATAGCTGGAGTACTTGCAAGCAGAACTTCCTTTAAAAGACAGAAAAGGCTGTTTGATGCTAAGCATCTCTAGTATTTTTAAAAACGTATAGTTGCTTTTTATTTTATATGCTGTTTTGTACACGGTTTACTCTTCTTTTTTTTTTGTGAAGATTTAAGAGTGAAAGATTTAAGAGATTTTTTTTTATTGATGTATTTGCACTGAAGAATTCTGACTTTTTTATATTTGAGGTTCAATTTAAGTTGTTCTCTGCACACTAAAGAATTAGTTTCCAGAATATCTGGTTAATGCATAATCCATTTGGTTTTGACAATGTGCAGTGTGTATTTTGCTATTGACAACAGAAAAGTGAAAAATAAAAATCTTGCCTTGAATATCTTTATGGCAAAAATACCACGACGTGTCGTGATACAAGCCAATGAACAGCGCATCGCTCTCCCTCCACTTGAGTTTCAACCTGCAAAGCCGTTGTTGGCACGCTGCTGCTCGTTCATTTTGACCTTGCCCAGATC